ATTTCTATTGATTTATTACTAAATTAGTTTAGGTGCATTCATAGAGCTCCCAAATTCAAAGAATCGTAGTTTCCCTCAACAATAGACACCAACGATCACTGCCATCAGCTACATGGTTTGACTACAATCACCTGATTGTTGACTCTCGATCACTAACACATTTTATAATTTGATACCACTGCGGACCGTTGTTACATGTAATGCTAACATTCCCGCCGACCTCCCGCCGACCTCCTAGCCTGAGCATCCTTCCTCCGACTCGACTGACTTCACGCCATTGGACCGGTCGTTCTCCTCCGGCGCACACATGCCTTGAGACCGATGGTGACATGGAGTTGGAAACAACTTTTTTTTTTTTTGGGACATTTAGGCCATTTAAGGCACACTCACACACACAACGCATACACAAGGACTCGAACCTTGGACCTCTTAGTTGGAAGCCTAAGCTTTCAACCAATAGGCAAGGAGAGTTGTGTATTGGAAACGAACCTTGCTGTTTGCGAACTGGATTCTGGGATGGTATGTACGTGTGGAAATCTCCCTAATATGGCCAATAAGGACTTAAGAAAAGCAAATTGCCGCATATTAGGTGTTTGCGTCTATGCCTCAAAGGATAGGAGAAATGGGCTGCTATACTCGTACCGGACTTCGGACAAGGAGAAATGGGTGAGAAAGAAACTTATCTTCCTCTATGTAAAAAGTGAACTACTATTCTTACTGTTGTACATATTTTTTTATTTCTTTGTTTATTCAATTGTTATTATCATTTCAAACCATAATCTTTATTGGATAAAATTATTCTAATGATTGAGAATTGATATATCATCAAAAAATTATCTTTATCGGGCACGAATGTCAAAGCAAAATCAAGTTGGAAACTTCAAAAATTTAATTCGGGGCCATCTCAACTCTAATATCATCAAATTTATAGTCGAATTGATCATCTCAAAAATACGAGCCCAACGACACCAAATTCGATCCAATCCAAGCTCAAATGAGTCCAAATCAAAGAGCCGAAGCACATTTGGAAGGTTCAAATCATAATTTAAATTAACAAACAATTTTTAAATGTGGCGTGCTTATAATCGAATCGAGCGACTTGATGAGAAAAATCCAACAAGCTCAAGATCGTCAAATTCTGATATCATTAAGACATTCAAATGCCTAATAAACGTTCCACAATCAAGGGATTCAACATCGGCCTTCTATTCAAACCACTCCCAATTTACCATTTATCTTCCTCCTATTTATTGGTCATGTCACTTTAAAAAAACTATAAATTCACTCATCATTTTTCATGAAAGGGGAACCAAGCAAGGAAGAAAATGAAGAGAAAGAAGAAAGTTATGTTGCCACCAGACTCCTCCTTGACCACCTTCCGGCCAACTACCGTCATCGAACTTTCACTAGACTTATGCCAGACCACCGACTGACACCCAACTTCCATCCATCTTCAGACTTCCGTCCATCATCGGACTTTCATCGGACTTATGCCCGATGTTAGAATTTTGTCCATCGCTAGACTGTCGCTCGTCACCGACTTTTCGTCTGTCGCCAAACATCTACCCATTGCTAGACTTCCGTCAGGCTTCTATCCGATGTCAAGCATCTATCCATCGTTGGACTTCTGCCCGACACTGGACTTACATCCATCGTCGGACTTTCGACCTCCGTTGTCTGAATACGGTCCTTCTGACCTCCGTTACGAGACAACAATATTTCTAACTACTATCGCCTTCCAATTACGGTTCTTCCGACCTCCGTCATCAGATAAAATTCCTTTCGATCTCTATCGCTAGATTATGGTCTTTCCGACCTATGTTGCCCATCAACTACAGTTCGTCTTACCTTCATCACCAGATAACGGCCCTTCCTACCTCCGTCGCTCGCCAACTACAGTCTTTCCGACCACTATCTAGTCTTTCTGAGCTCCCTTGCCCGCCGACTATGGTCCTGCACGAAACGAACTTATCAATACTGATTTCTCCAATTTTCACCATGTAATGCATTCTATGTGATGTATATTTTTTACATCGGTTAAGGTCTTCCCTCAAATGAAGGGCCTCATTTGTAATCAACTGCAAATACTAGTGGAGTCATTTTTCCCTTTTTAAGGGTTTTCATATAAAACTCTTGGCGTCTCTTATAAATAATGCACCATCTATTTTTATCTAATTGTGTGCTAGAACTTTGTACAAAGCTAAGACATTAAACTTTATATTTCTCTACCGCCACGAATATTTTAGGATGCAACGTATAGTCATGTTTGTCATTATCATTATTGTTAATAAGGTTAATACACAATTTCATAAATAAAGTTGATGCACATCATTCATAATTTAACTATTGAAAATTTGGTGAAGGCAAAAAAAATGATGTAGGATTTCGTTGTGAACTTCAATATTTGGGAATAAATTTAATGAATAGAAAGTTAGAATGCTATGATTCTACAAATGACAAATTTTGGGTGTAGCACAAGAAATTGCCCATATTTCCAAATAAATTGTAGATCACTATTTGGGAAAAAAAAAAAAGAGTGAGAAAAGCGAGGTTCATTACATACATGCAAGCAGCAAGTAAAAGGAAGTGGATAGATTTATTTATTTTTTTTAATTAAGAAATTGCCGCAAGGAAAAAGTAATGTGGCCTAGCTTTCCCGAATAAGTTTTTTTGAGGGATTTATACACATTAAATTTTAATCGATGCAAGAATATTATTCAAATGATTTTTAGTAGTGTTCAGCAACATATATAAGATTTTTGTATGGAATTTGATTGTGTTGATTAATCAGATTGTACTATTGACTCAAATTTTAATTCCAACATTCAAGTTCGTCGAAGTTCTAGGGAGGGGGTGCCTTTCTCCTAAAAAAATTTTACTTACAAATATTTAGTGTCTTGTCACTGTACATTAAAGCGTTGCAATTCTATACGCTTATGCATTATAGCATCACAGGATGTAGCACAACAGCAATATAGTCTTCAATTAGAGAAAGAGAGCGGAGCACTGCAGCGCTATAAATTAGGCTAGACTGCGAGTGGAACACTGTGGCGCTCCAAACCCCGATGCTACAAGTCGGGCTGGACAAATTTCTTTCTCATTTTTCATACTTAACTTGAAAGGTTGCATCTCTTAGTATAAATTAAGTGTCTCTTTGTCTAATATATGAAGAGAACTATAAAAGAAGTTAAGTGAGTTAAGAAGAGGATGAGAACGAAGAAATATGTATAATTTCTCCTAATTTACATAGTGAATTTCTCTGTGTGTTGCTGCTTCGTAACTTTTGTCCTAATTTAGGACTTTTCCTGTTAAATATTGGTGTTCATTTACGATGTTTTCCTTTAGTGCTTGTTTTGTTGCATGGTTTATATTTCAATACTAGATTCAATCAATATTCAATCAAAGCATAGATAGCATAGATAAAATTCAAATTAATTATGCCACTCCTCATCTCTTTGGGAATTGAATCATTTAAGTTATATTGCAAATTAGTATGCAAATATTTGCTTTAATCATACTTATATAATGCATTATACTGTTCATACAAAAATTGATTTTAATGTGATGGAGAAATTTAATATGTAGCGCTGAGAGTGTGATGGAGAAATTTACTAAAAACTGATTTTAATGTGTTGAATATGAAAGGAAAAGGCACGAAATCTATCTTTACGGAATGTTGTACTTATTAGTAAATTAATGTGTTGGTGAAGATCAATGAAAAGTTGAGCCGTTTGATTAAATAATTTTTAAATATTTTTTAATAATTACTTGATCTGATCTCACAATTAAATATAAATGATCTCCAATGCTGTACTTTTTAGAGTCTAAACCAATTAATCATATTAATCATATATTAGGGCATTTTATATCGATATATATGTAGTCAGATTTGAGAACTTCAACATTGAATCAATCATGTGGTCAAATTAGGGCTGCAAATGAACCGAGCCAAGCTGAGTATCTGAGTGATCATATTTGAGTTCATTTATTATCAGCTTGTTCAAGTTTGGTTCATGTTTGATTCAAACTTTCTTGTTTGTGTTCATTTTTTGTTCGTTTAATTAATGAGTATTCATGTTTGATTCATTTAGTGTTTATCGAGCTTTAAACAAATAAACCTTGATGAGGTATAAACCAGCTCTACTTTTAGATGTCCATTAACTTTAAAAATGAGCTTTATCGATCCTCCTAACAAACAATTACATCAAACATGTTCATGAACATATTTAGCGAATTTTTTTTAGTTAGCATATATTATAATATTTAATTACTTTAAATTTCATTATTTAATAGTAATTATATCATTGTGTTATAATAAATATAAAATATTTATATTATGTATATTTGTCAATTTTATAATCAAATATTAATTGAGTTTTTATTGAGGTTATTCAGGAGTTCTGAATCAAACATAAACCAAACTTCTTATCGAGCTTAATGTCGAGCTTGTTCAAGAGCTTTAAATGATGTTTTTCATGAACATAAATGAGTCGAACACATTAGTGTTCAAGCTTGTTTATTTAAGAATCGAATATTTAAAATATTGTTCATGTTTGTTTATTTAGTTAATTAAATGATCACAAACATGCTTTAATAGAACCGAACAACGAGTAGCTCGTCGAATGTTTGGTTCATTTGCAGCCCTTCGTGAGACATAGAAGGGACAATTCAACTTTGCTATGTTTAAGATATTATGATTATAATCAGTTGTATAAAAAAATTAATTGTTAAGTTATAGCTACTGTGATTATAATCGACTTGTTACGGTAAGAACATGATAATTGATTTTATTTAATATAATGACTTTCATTGTGATTTTATCATCTATTTTATCCGCCTTTATAATATGTTGTCATGCATTTATTGTGATTGCATTTTTTTAGGACACATTGTTGTTTAAGAAGGTAGATTCATATTCAAACATTATGTGAAACTTATTTGATTTATGTATGAATCTTATTCAAACTTTTCATGACACTAAATTGTATTTTAATACAATATTTGAATTTTGTTCCTGTTGATTGTTAGCCTCCATCTTCACCTACTATTGGTGAAAGGATATGTGTCTTGTTAATTCGACAGTGGTGAAAGGTTCTTCTTCTAATGCTAATGTTAACTCCCCTCAATCTTTCACTGATAAGGAGTTATCACCTAATACTTCAAAACGAACTAAACATGCATCCTTCATAGATGTACTGATCTCTCTTATTTCAGATGAAGCTCAGTTGTCGTGGAATTTAATGGATACCTCTTTAGATCTTTTGGATGGCCTAGATAAGGCTGCTTCCTCGCCTTGCGAGAGTTTTGGGGATGATTTGGATGATCTGATTGATGAAATGATTCGGTTGATGAAATGTATAGTTTGAATGTTAGTTGGATTCTTGAAAAAGCTTTTTGTCGTAGAGGTGGAAAATGAGCTAGGAGAAAAGCTAAAAAATATAGTAAATGGATTGGTTGTTGGCTGGGAGCTTAATTTCTTCCCCCCCCCCCCCCCACTTTTCTTTCTTTCCGGATTTCTATACTTGATTGATTTTTGCCAGTGGGGCTGCTGTCCTACTGTGTTAATTATTTGCTTGTTTGGGTTTACTTATGGTTGTGAAGGCTCCTCTCTTGGGCTTGTGGGCTGTTGTCTACTATCATGCAGACAATCATGATGCAAGTTTCTTGCAAGCCCTCTGGATGGTCTGGGCTTGTTTTGGCAACCTTAGTGGTTGATTCATGTGCTTGGTCTTTGATGGGTATTTGGAACTTCTTGCTGCTATTTCTAATCCTCCAATGGATGGTCCAGGCTTGGCAACCACGTGGTGTTCTAAGTTTGATTTGCTTTAAGACCTTTTTTAGTTTCTCTAATTTTGAATTATTTATCATTTTTCAAATTTTAGTAGAATCTATCGCTTATTATGATATTTTAGATTTTCTTATTTCGTGCTTTGGCTTTTTTTTAGCCTTTACTTGTAAGTCCTTTTTTTATTAGTGGAATAAAAATCTTTTTTTTTTAACAATATAATATTTGAGTATGTTTTAAATTTTCTTCCCCCATCTCAACCTAGATCAAAGCCTCAACATCAACAACAACAACATCAAGCCTTTATCACATTACGTGGAGTCGGCTACATGAATCATTTTTCACTATTGTGTCCTCTTAATAGTCAAATTCTCGTTTAAATATAATAAAGAAAGGTTATTCCTAATATTTTTTAACCAAGTATTTTTATGTCTTCCTCTATCTTTCTTAACATAAGTCAAATCTAATACCTCTACTCTCATAACCAGGTCATCAGAATGCCGTCGTTTTATGTGACCAAACCATCTAAGGCGACTCTCTCTAATCTTATCTTCTACTGGAGCTACTCCAACCTTTTCACATATATGCTCATTTCATGTCCTATCTTTAAGGGTAAAGCCACTCATTCACCTGAGCATCCTCATCTCTGCCATACTTAACTTAGTATTATGCTTCTCTTTTAACAGCCAACATTTGGCACCATAAAGCATTGTAGGCCTCACCATCATCTTATAGAATTTTCCCTTTAAGTTTGAGGCGGACTTTTCTTTCACACAACAAGCCCCTGATGCATTTCTCCACTTCAACCATCCAACTTGAATTCTACTGAAAATATCTCATCTATTTCACCATCACTCTGGATCATAGATTCAAGATATCTAAAACATGTACTCTTATTAATGACTTAAAGCCTATTTGAATTAATTTTAATCGGGATGAACTTTTAAAAAATAATATGCGATTCAAAGTTAAAATATGTTAATCGAAGAAAATTTTGAAACATATTTTTTTAACATATCCATATCCGCTTAAGGCCTTCCACTTAAAATTTTACAGGAAGCAAGCGAACACTGTCAGCAATCGTGCTTTGACCTTGTGAAAACGTCATCGCTCACGCATAGCTGAACGAAGATCGGTTTTCTAAGAAATTATTAGGTAGAAATTGCGTACTTCGTTTTATAAAAAAATTATAAATATACATAAGACTGAAAATTTTCTTACATCTATGCTTCGTCGTCCACTTGTACCGTATAAATTCTCCTGATTTCGAGCTTTAAATACCAGTAAGCAACATTCCTAATCGCTCATTCGGCTCTCACTCTTCATTTATCAAGTTTTAGATCTGAAATTTCAAGGAAATAACTAATGGCAGAAGAAGATGTAAAGCTCATCGGGTTGTGGGCGAGCCCCTTCGTCGTGAGAGCAAGGATTGCTCTGAATCTGAAGGGGATCGAGTACGAGTTTCTTGAAGAAGAGCCCGGCAAGAAGAGCGAGCTTCTTCTCAAATCAAACCCTGTCTATAAGAAGTTCCCTGTACTCATCCATGGCGGCAAGGCCATCTGCGAGTCCCTTCTCATTGTCCAATACATCGATGAAGTCTGGTCCTCTTCAGGCTTTCCCATCCTTCCTGCCGACGCCTACGACCGAGCCATCTCTCGCTTCTGGGCCGCATACATCGACGACAAGGTATGCTACGAGCAAAAATTCTGGAAAATTTTATTGGATTTATTTTGTGATGAGTTTTTATATATTACAATTCTCTTAAAAATATAATTAAAAATATTAAAGAATAGTTTAGAATAATATTTTTTTCAAAAATTTATAGAGAGATTTATGTATATATTACACAATTTTTATTTATTAATATATCTAATATTTATTTTTATAACATTTAAATTTATAAATAATATTAAAAATATTATTAATATTCATTTTTTTAAATCATTTTATAATTTTATTCTATACTTCAATGTGATTGAGTATTAAAACATTATATATAAAACTTTAAACTTTAAATATTAGATATTTAATTATATAAAAAAATTATGATTTACATAAAAATCCTCAAATTTATAATCATTTTTTATTATATTTATTCATTATAAAAAGTTTGCGTTGTATTTTTATTTTTTTATAAATAATGTGATCAAAAGTCATATTATTGATAATGTTTTTAAAAGAAATGGTTAAAAAATTATATAGAATATTCTGAATAATTTTTTAATTATAATATTTTTTAAAGCTCTTAAAATTATCTCAAAATTAATATAATATAAATAATATGCCTTTTACATTCACCTTCGAATAAATTAAAAATATAGAACCAAGTCATAAGTATTTTTTTATCTGAAAATTCTCACACAATTTTTCTTTTCCATTTAAAAATTTATAAATGTAAATCTATATAAAGCTAAAATTAGCGCTAAAATTATTTCTTCAATAATCTGTGATTATAACTTATAATCTTGCATTGAAAATTTGTCTACCAATTGTTTACCGTTGATGATTATTAGCTTAGCTATATCTATTCTCGCAGTTGCCGACTCAGGGTCCGGCTTTGCTCGACAGCACGAATGAGGATAGCCAGGCAAAAGCGAAAGCGAAAGTGCTCTCGACGCTGCAGCAGCTGGAAAAGGCTTTTGTGGATTGCAGCAAAGGGAAGAGCTTCTTCGGCGGCGACAGCATCGGCTTCATTGACATCGCCCTCGGCTCCTTACTTGGTTGGCTTAAGGCTAGCAAGCTTATTGCGGACATAAACATTCTGGATGAGACGAAGACTCCTCGGTTGGTTGAGTGGGCGGAGCGCTTCTGCTCCGCCGAGGCCGTGAAGGAGGTGCTTCCGGAAGCTGAAGAACTGGTGGAGTTCAGAAAAATTGCTCATGCTGCTACTTCCAAGTGATGAGTGGATATTTCGATACACGATTTATGAGGGTTTTGATTTGAGCGTTGTATGAGTAAGTTTTATGTTGATTGGAATGCAGAGATGTGAATACTGTGTGGGCAAGAAAATAATTAGATGACAGATGATCGTTCCTCAATTATCAATTCATCACAATTGTTGCGTCCCGAAATATTTGTGACGGTAGAGAAATATAAAGTTAACGTCTTAATTTTGTACAAAGATTGAGCACACATACATATAAAGAGAGATGATGTAGTATTCACAATAGACACCTAGATTTATACATGGAAACCCCTTGAAAATGGGGAAAAACCATGTGACCTAGCCCAATTTGAATGAATCCACTAGTATTTGCAGTTGATTACAAATGAAGCCCATTATTGGGGGGAGACTTTGGCTTGATGTAACAAATATACATCATACATAGTGTGTTACATTGTGAAAACATGAAGAATCACAGTTGATGTATTTGCTTGGTCAGAATGGTCATAGTTGGTGGGCGACGGAGGTCGGAAGGATCGTAGTCAGTGGGCGACGTAAGTCGGACCATAGTCGCCTGGCGACAGATGTCATAAAGTACATTTTCTTGCGACCAAGGTCGGAAGGACGGTGTCGGGCAGAAGTCCAGCGTCAAATAGAAGTCAGACGAATGTTCGGTGACGCGGAGATGTCCTGTGTCGGGTAGAAGTCTCATAGAAGTCCGGTGACATGTGGAAGTTCCACTACAGGAAAATCACTTATTACCGGCGGAATTTTCCGACGGCTTTCCGGCGGCTTTCCAGCGGATTTCCGGCGGAATTCGGTGTCGGGCAGGAATCCGCCAACAAGCGAAAGTCTAGCGTCAGATAAGCTCAACAAAAGTCTGGCGGCGATCAGAAATATGGCGTCGGATAGAAATCCAACGACATACGAAAGTCTGACGTTGGGTAAATCCGGCAACGAGCAGAAGTCAGGTGTTGAGTAGAAATCTGGCGACGGTCGGAAGTTCGGCGTCGGGTAGAAGTTTGACGTCGTGCAGGAATCCGACAACGGGCAAAAATCTAGCTTTTGATAGAAGTGTGGCAAAAGTCCAGCGGTGGTCAAAAATCCGACATCGGGTAGAAGTCTGGTGACGTACAGAAGTGCGACGTCTGGTAGAAATTCGGTAACGAGCGGAAGTCCTACATTAGGCAGAAATCCGACGATGGTCGGAAGTTCGGCGTCGGGTAGAAGTCCGACGAAAGTTCAGTGGCTGACAAAAGTCCGACGACTGGCGGAGGTCCGATGTCAGGTAGAAATCCCGAGAGGAGCTTAAGCCCTACGTCTGCTAGAAATCCGGCAACGGGTGGAAGTTCATCATTAGGTAAAAGTCCGAAGAAACTCTGGTGGTGAGTAGAAGTTCGGCATCAAGTAGAAGGCTGAAGAAAGTCTGGCGGCGGGCAAAAGTCCAGTGTCGTTTAGAAATCCGGCAACGAGCGGAAGTCTGGTGTCGGATAGAGATCCGGCATCACTTGGAGGGCGGGTGTAAGCCTGGAGTTTGTCGGTGGCCGGGCAGAAGTCCGACGTCACTTGACGGTCGGGTAGAAGTTAGATGTCGGCCACCGGCAGGGCGGGGGGGCAGTCCGACGCTGCTCGAGGAGGCGTCTGGTTGCAAGAGAGCTTTCTTCGTTTGCTTCCTTCTCTTCTTATTTTCCCCTTCTCTTCCTCTTCTCTTCTTCTTTCTTCATGTTTGAGTCCCCTCTTGTGAGAAATGAGGGCTCTATTTATAGTTTTTCTGGAGTGGCATGGCTTGTAAATAGATGTGAGATCAAGGGTAATTAGGGAGTGGTCGAATGGACGGTCGATATTGAACCCTTCGATCATGCACCATTCGTTGGACATTTGAAGGCCTTAGTAATGACGGAATTCAACGATCTTTGTTCATTGAATTCGTCTTATCGAGCCGCTCGATTCGACTATAAGCTCGTCAAAATCGGAGACCGTTTGGTAACTCAAATTGTGGTACAACTTTCCAACAACGCTTCGGGTGCTCGCTTTGGGCTAATTTGGGCTCATATTGAGTTGAATTTTGTGTCATTGAGTTTGTAATTCTGTGACGCTCAGTTTGACTGTAAGCTCACAGAAATCGGAGTTCAGGTGCTCCCGGATTTAATTTTTGAAGTTCCCAACTTGATTTTTGCCT